TCTGCGGTAAAATCTACCTAGAAACGCTTAAATGGAAAGTCCTACCCTACCCGGCATATTCTTCAGATATTGCACCCTCCGATTATTATTTGTTATATTTGATGACACATAGTCTGGCTCAGAAGCAGTTTCACTCACAAGACGACTTCGAAAAATGGCTTGATTCTTGGATGAACAGTTTTACCGTAATGGTGTTCGAGCTTTACCAGAAAGATTCCGCAAGTAAAAGTAAAAATATACGACTAACATCAGTTTCCAAGTATTTGACAGTTGTGAAAGTCCAGAATACTTTTTCGGCAACAATTCGCCTTAGGTTATTTGTTTGAATATTCAGTGGCATCCCTCTAGTTTGCATAAGTTATGATTTTTGTTCTCCGCTGCCTGCTGTCCGGATTTTAGTTATACGAAGCTTATTAATTTGTCCAACAGTGAATAATTTAGGATGAATAACTGTTGTAACTGTAGGAAATGTATACGTATTACATACCGATTTAGGCACGTTTAAATGATGCCAGACTTTAGAAGCATTATTTTTGCCACGTTTTATTTCGTTGGCGTTATTAAGGCTTGATATACATATATGATATAAAATTAAAGAAGAGAATTAGGTTTAGTTGCGACTTATGTGCTTTGATTTTTGAACTATGGTAATCATTAATTCAAATGGATCGGGTAATCGTTGAAATATGAAATTTCTCATACACTTTTGAAGTTTGTACTATCCCATAGGAAAAGTCTTAGACAATATAAAATACACACGTAAAAGATCAGCACAATGAAATGAGTCGTTTTAAGTCGCTGAAATTTTGAACACGTCCGTTCTGCACAAGAAGCTGATTTGTTGGAACCGCCGATATCGGTTAACTATAGCATATAGCGGCCATACAAAGCCAAATTAAGTCCTTGTATGAAAAAGTTTTTAATTTGGTTAGATAGCGGCACGAAGGCTGGTACGCCTTATTTCCAAAAAAAAAAAAAAAAGGGTGCAATCTCCGAAGAAATTGGTAAGATCAGAGTACTACAGCATATGGCTGCCATTCAAACAAACCAACGAAAATCAAGTTCCTGTAATGAATATTTTATATTTGGAAAGGGTGTGCTTCGTTACAACCGAAGTTAACGTGTTTTTTTTTTGGTATTTTATGTGATTTTGATGCTCAGAGATCCAAAACTCAGTTCGATTGATTTTGTATCAATCTCTCTTAGTATCAGGTGAATAAAACTGTTGTACTATGAGCAACAAATTGAGAGAGTATACAAACTTAAAATTAAATGTATATTGATACAAACATAAAAAAACTGACTATTAAATAACATAACTTTGAAAATAATACAAAAATACTTGATGCCTAAAAAAGGTTTTATATATCTTAATTTGTTGCCCTGAAAATTTAAAATTTTAATAAAAGCTTTTATTTTCGCTAAAGTGCTTCGTTTTGAGTATTACATCCCTTTTGAAACTGCACTTTTGCAATTGCTACCCAGCAATTTACATATTTTGATGTAATAAAAAACCGACCGGGCGTATACGCAACATTAAAATGTAAGCAAGCAAGCAAGTAAACAAGCATATCAAATATACAAAAAAGACATTAACATTTGCTCAAATGTGCATTTAGCTTTAGACTATAAAGAAAATTTATGCGGAAAGCACAATTTGAATTAAATTAAACGAAAAATTTGCCATAAATTCAAGTTAAGCGCCGAACGCCTGTAACTATGCTACACCAACTACAGCTGTAGCATTGAAACACTTGCGCTTACAACTAGCAGCTGCAGTGGTTAACGCCCTCAAAAGAACAAAATAATAGTACTATTTATTTTACGTGTCTAAGTTACTTGCTTACCCAAAAAAAGCAGCAGGCATGCAATAAATTATACAAAAATATGTCTACTTTGTTATTGTTGTCGCTTTGGGATTGTGTAACAATGCAGGCCGCACATTTCTTCTTTTTTTTTATCTATGACAACCTTGGCAGAATTGCATCAACACGACTTTGCAATTTGAGAACGAATTCATTTATTTTTAACTACTCATTTCTGGTCTTTTGTAGGAGTAGCTGCGAATGGAGGGGAAGAATTTAATAAGTATTTCCGATGGTCTATGATGTATGAGGCAGAAAAGACAGACGGAAAGAAGTTCTGCGAAACGCGGAACCGCCGGATAGCATATCAAAATTGAGTCATCCTTTTTGGGTGGACAATTCAATGTGTTTTATTCGCAGAGGATTTGGGTCAGTAAATTACTTGCTGGAATCCATAGAATAAACCACAGATTTTATCTGAAATATAATTTTATAAAAGCAATGGGATGGCATTATTTTGCTTTTGAGAATAATAAGAAATTTTATTAATTGAACTGTATTAGACTTCTAAAAGTATGCATTTGGTAGAAATAAATAAGTGGAGGTGTGGTTCATGAAGTAATGAAGATGGAAGAGGAGGAATGGTTAGGTTAAAAAAACCTTTGGATGGATAAGAAATTGAAAGAATGAGTGGCGAGACCGATGGACTAGTGGCTAGACAAACGATTGGACTGGAAGTAGGATCACTGAACGAATTGTTGCAGAGCTAAATGAGCACACAAAGATACACTTCTTTGAGCAAAACACGCTCTCTCATTTTAATTGAGATAACTCACATATTGGCCGATATATGCGGTACAAAGTCACCCCGAAGTTCACAAATCTTTATATTAGGTATATGGGGGTAAAGGAAGTGTTGACCCGATTCAACCCATTTTTGACATACAGACATGCTATTATCAGGAAAAGGTCCTCTCTTATTATTGTGTACCAAATTTCATCAATATATCTTAATTTTTATTCACGTTACAGTTTACACGAACAGATGGACGGATTTCAACTCGTATCGTCATGGTGATCATTTATATATTATATATAACCCTATATCTATCAAGTGTAATTTTATCTCCATTATTGTGTGTTTGACAGTTTGTTTGGCGATTTTTTATTTATCGGGACAAGAATAAAGCCACTGGGAGCCAAATTAGACGAATGCGGCGGCTGAGCAACGACTCTCGTTTCGTGTTTGGCTAAAAACTCAGTAAAAATCATGCTAGAATGTGACAGCGCATTTAGATCTTTTGTTACGAGTCTAGCATTGATACGCTTCATATCCAAAATATTAATTAAAATGTGTTAAGTCGAACCATAAGAGGCGTTGAGATCCTCTGCAATCCCTTTGATGCCAACACAACGGTTTTCAAGCACTGTTTATTTTACTTTTTAATGTAATCATTATTAACAGAGGTGAATACACGACTCACATGAGACAACTGACTTCTTGACCTTCGCTTAATGCTTTAGGCGACTCAAATAATTTTCTTCGTGATAAAGTTGACCAATCAAATAACTTCTGCAACATATTCAACGATTCCGAAACGGTGATTGCATTGGAAACACGAAATTTCAAGCAAACTCGTTGTAAATTTTTTTTTCCACGGCAATTTTGCCAGACAAACTTTCCGCACACTAATTGACACATAGAAATGAAACTTAACACAAACCTAAACAAAAGTTTGTAGAAATTATGGGAAAATTTTGTAGCGATTCGGTTTTCACGCGCAGCTTAAGTGGACCAGTCCGAGTCAAATTTGATCTTACGTCTACTCCAAAAAAAAAATATATATTAGTTTACATTTTGTTATAAGAATTTTTTTTAGCACTGAGGTCCTAATTTATTAAATTTCTCTTTTCCAGACTTCAGCTGAGTTTGCTGCTAGCCACGTAAAGTAAGAAGAACATTAAAGCCTAAAGCGAAGAAACCCCATCAAAAAGAATAAATGAAGAAATAATTTAAATAAATTCACCAGTATTGATCTACAGGCTGAACACTTGAACAAATCAAAGAACAAGAGCACTTAATACAAAATAAGAAACAGATGAAAAGTCTTTGCAAAAACAAGGATAGTAATTCAGGTGCTATATACTGCACACTCATCAACACAAACGGTTCATTTGTAAGATAAAAAATTGTGACGGCTACAGCAACAAAGCCAGCGTAATCTAATTGGAAACGTTAAAGCGTATGAAATATTAACCACTTATGTTGAAAGAAATGTGGCAGACGATAACGATTGCGGTGACGAAAGTGAGTGGAATTTAAGAGAGAGCAAAAAAAAGTGGTAAAACTTTGTGTAGAAGTGGTAAGCTGTGTGACATTAGAACATGAGAAATTAAAAAAAAATTATAAATTTAAGTAAATAAAAACTAAAAATATTTATAAAACAAAGGAACAAAGAAGAATTAAAAGTATGAAAATAAGAATATACAAAATAAAAAACTAGAAAACATAGTGTAAACTTAAAAAAGAATCAAAGTTGGAGGTCTGTGTGTGACTTTTATACACCATTGGACAAGTCTTTTCGTACGAAAAATAATAAAGAGATTATATGGTGTCTTGCCACAAAACAGGAAAATATGAGATTCCAGAATGCAATGTGATAAATTTAATGATGAAGAATAAGAACAAGATAAAGGATGTGAATAACAAAAACCTGTCGAGGTTCTGTTTAAAATACTATTGACAAGTATTATTAGTTAAATAAGTAAGCTAGCAAATAACGCAAAGAAACCAAACACCACGAGTGCTTGAATTAAGCAGGCAATCTAAGGTAATTGTACTAAAGAAAATTCAATACTCAACTGTAATGCGCGGAACAATGTAGGACTAGAGGAAGCATAACATAACGCATTAAAAAGCGTTCCCGACAATTTCGACTAGAAAATGTGACAAATATATTTCAAGAGAAACTAAATAACAAAAATTGACAAGCACAAATAATAACCCAACGATTACTTTCCTCCCGCCCAACCGACGCGAGGGGCGCAATCCGCATATGTGCGGAATTAGCCGAGTCAGAAACGGCAAGAGAGTTTTTTAAGTGTTGAAATCTAAAACTGCTCAGCTACAGAAACAAAAATTTCAACAGCTAAGATTTAAAAATACGTTATAACAAATTATTAACGATAAAGTCCTTTTAATTTTGAAAAGTGAGTCAAATAAATGTAAGGCAAAAAAGGAACAGAAACAGAAAGTGCAGCAGAAATTAAAAAAAGAAACAGAAATATGTAAATTACAAATTTAATAAAATTAAAACAGAAACAGAATTCAAAAGGTGAGATGAAATTGTAACTGAAACAGAAACGGAAGCAGAAATTGAAACAGAACACACAATTAAAACGAAAGCAGAAACTGAAGCATAGAAGGAAATGCACAAATAAAACCAAAAACATACTCACAAATAGAAACAGAAAATAAATTAGTAGCTGAAGGCGAAATGGAAAGAGAAACAGAAGAACACGCAAAAAGGGAAACAAACTATTTACATGAAATATATAATATATAGGAGCACCAGTTCCAACAAAAACAAAAACTATAATAAAAGAAGTAGTAATAGCAAGAACACAAAAAGGAACAGACATTCATGCAAAGGCAGAAATTAAAGAAAAAATAAAATTTATGTTGAAAGTGAAAATAGAGACAACGCTAAAAGTAAAATTGCAAAAAATATAGAGACACAAACGAGAACAGAATTAGAAACAGAAATGCAAAGTCGGCAGCAAGCTCCAGCGGCAGGACAACGAGCTGCAGTTTGCAAAGAAATAAATGAACTGCAACAACAACAAAAAATGGTCATAAACTGTCGATCTGACGTCGGTTCACAAGCCAAACCCTCTACTCAACAACGTACTGATGATTATTATGCAAATCAGCGACAACCCACAACAGCTGTTCTACTTCAAGCCGGTCAATGCATAACAGCAGCTGAAATTTTTGAGCACACTCAATACCAATGGACGTCAACTCATAACCGCAAGCGTGTACCAGCTCCAGCACGTTCTGTGGGTCACTCTGCAGTCCAACCGCGTAACGCACACAAATCTTTGAACACAAAATCCCATCGGTTACAGTTTCGCAATTGGCGTGATTGGCTTCTTCGAAGCTCATTGCCATCTCCTTGGCGCAGTCGCCTTCCAACAGTATTATTAACCTACACACTGCTGTATTTGCTAAGCGCAATGCCCCACGTACGTGCCGCTTGCCGAAAAGAGTCCGCTCGCGGTTGCGAGGCCATTTGTACACCGGACGGCCGCAATTGTACGTTGCGCGCACTTTTATTGCTACCCGACGATGACACCTACATCGCATCGATGCGACGCACAATGCCAGTGTTGCATTTGGCCGATCGGTATATACGTGAAAATAGTTTATTGCCACCGCAGTTAAATTTGGAATGGATGACGGGCGATGTGAAATGTGATGCAGCATATGCCTCCATTAAGGCCATGGATGGCATCGTAAAGAATTGTGCACATGTTGTCTTTGGTCCAGTCTGTGATTATGCTTTAGGTGAGTACGCAGAGTGGGCGTAGGTGTGTGTGACATGAATTGTTGCATGTAGTGATTTATTAAATATAACAGTAACACTACGGAGCTTATTTCTCGAAATTATTATGGGGGTAGTAGTGTGAGAGAAAATTGCTTGTTTTTTGCTCTAAAATTTGTTTTTGGTTTGTACTTTTACGCACAGCTTATTTGAAAGATTTGAAATAGTCATACTTTATTCTATCAAGTGACAATGAAAACTCGCTCATAACTACAATAATAAAAAAGAAAGTAAGGAAGTCCAGAAAATCCCAGGCATATTGAATATGCTTTTAGTATATAAAAAAAGTTCTAAGAAATCAAATTCAGAACCAGACACCAAATTGCTACGACTTCTTCGGCTCCTTTTGATATTTTTTTCTTCATTATTTACAGAAAAATAAAGACCACGTTGAGTAGAACACATTAGGTCGATTCATCCATTTATGAAATTTAAACCTTCGAACTTGCTTCGTTAGTTTTTCATAGCAGCTGTTTTTTTTTAGCATTATTTACCCCATAACCGTCTTCATGAGGGTACCGCTTAAACTGTAGCCCTAAGGAATGCTACCGGAATCGTGAACGAATATAGATACAAATTCATTGAAAATTACCTCATAAATGTAGCCCTCGATTTCTTGTACGTTAATCCGGTCTTTAATTCTATCCAACAATATTTTTATCTATAAATTCTGCACAAAGTATACCCCTTCACGAATCGTTTGAGATTTATAAGTGAAATATATTAGAGTTGACTATCAAATTTTGCCTCTTCTTTAGAAGGTCCCTCATAAGAATTGCTTCTATTTACCAATTTTGAAAAAAACTGGTCTGTAAGAGGTAGGTAGGTAGGTAGGTAAAGTGGCTGTCATTCGACACACTTAGGCCTTTAGGAGGCCCATTGTGATACCACTGGGACTGTGATCCTCCCCTCACTCTACTGGCTCCTCTCTGAACCACCCCGTACTTCTGATGAACTTCATCAGTGAGACAAGTTTTATCTGTGCAACCTCCAAGTCGTCGTCAAGAAACCCACGACCGATGGTTGCGATTCTTTTCCTATATAGTGCTGCGCAATCGCATAGAAGATGTTAAGATGCTGTAAGAGGTAAAAGGTCAAAGAAAAAATAATAAACTGTAAATGTTGAGGAATTTTTTTTAAAAAAGTTCCTGTCTTTTTATGTCTACAAGCACTAAGCTACCCACCCAGTCATTGTATGTAATAACTTATCAATATGAACCCGATCATAGGTTTTTATAAACAAACTACTACTTATCAGACAACTTTACTGAGCATATGTAAAAAATTTATGTAATGCATATAAAAACCAGGGAAGACATAAAATTATCACTAAGATCATTTGCCTCGACTTTCTTCTATGTAGAATTACAATCGTCGTCGATGCTCACATATTCAATCGCCTTGAGTTTAATAATTGTGGACTTTAGGACAGGTATCCGTTCAGAAATCATCAAGAAAACAAAAAGGTTTTGATATCTCAAAAACGTTAAAATCCCTAATATAGTTATTTTGCTTACTTTATTCTCTCATTGATATCACAAGGAGCTTGAAAATGTTTTACCTGGTTATTTTTATTTTGTATATTACAATATTGCTTGACAAACCTGGAATATTGACCGGTTGTAGAGAATTGAATAGTTATACAACTCCACCCGATAACACAATTATATGATATCTAATTTATATATTTCCGTGCGCTTCCAGCCGCCGTTAGCCGCATTGCTAAATATTTTAATAGTAATGGAACACCTGTCATATCCATAGGGGGTGCCACCGATAGTTTTGAAGACAAAAAAACAACATGTGCTGATGAGTTCTATATGCTGGTGCGCCCTGGTGTGCTCAGCTTTAAAAGTCTCTCCCTAATGATAATTGAACTTATGAAACAGTAAGTATGAAAATATATGCTAATTAAATGAAAAATATCTGCTAACTTTCGCAAAACCGAAAAGAAGTACAACACTTAACATTGCTTGTCACTTAAAACGTATTTAAAAATTTATATATACTCGTATTAAAACTCTTCTACTTACCCCTACCGCCAGCTACAAGTGGTCCAACTCCATAGCATTCTACGAACGTGATGGGCAAAGTAATGCCGTCGGTGAGCATAGCTGCTATTTAATGATGAAAAGTTTTGGCGATGAAATGCGTAATCTAAATTTGACATTTGCACAGTATTCCATAGTGCCGGAGCTGCGCAACCGCACCGAGGAGCTAGTACGTGAAATTGGCAATAAACACACAAGTAAGTGACATTAAGCATGTGTGTGTGCATATTTTTGTTTTTGTGATACAAAGAAGACATTTATTTACCTTTTAACGCTACTGTTGAGGCAATTAGCAGCTGATTAGATAAGACGCTAAATCTAACAGCATGTTAAATCAAAAATATGCTTATATGTTATCATTTTTGTTATAATAACAGTACGTATGTTAATAATAGCAGAGAACGCTAATGAAATAAGCGCTGTTAATGGGAAATTAACATAGAATTTGATGTTGCTAACATATTATATTTTTTGAAAAGTTTGAATTTCTACAGCGTATGCACAGAATTTCATTAACACTTATTTCAGTTCATATTTTGTTAGTGTAAAGCTGTTAGTTAAAGCTTTTCACACAGTAGTGGGTACTACATGGAGATAATTATTAAAAATTGAAAACAGACGTGTTGTTATTTTTTATTTAGTAACTCGCATACTCCTCTAAATATTTACGACTTTTGCAGCTTAGAAAGCCAATAAGCATTCCGCCGTGCTTCTAAAATATTACGTAATCCGAATAAGTTAAAAAAATATTTTTAACTGTTCAATATGTGCTTTTTGATTTCTTCTCTTTATAAGTAAACTGCAAATTTGTATTCAATACAAGTTATTTATAAAATATCCTCAAACCGTAGTTATTCGAAAAAACAATTGGTATACATGTAATACAAATAGGAATGCCAACTGGATGTCTACTGAGACATTTCAATCTCAGTCCGGCAAAAGCTAGGCAGTAAAGAAAAAACAGCTTAGATGAAAGACGTATATTGGACAGTGTCCAGTCAGGATACTTCAAATAGTGGCGAGATAGTTCCAAAGGCCCCCGTGCTTCAATTTCAGGCATCAAATAGTCGGTTATCATGGCGCAATAGCGGTCGCCATTGACGGTTGTATTTTCACCGACAAAATTTTTGAAGTAATATGAAGTGATGATTCCACCGGCCCACAAACCACACCAAACTGTTGCTTTCTTCACCCTAGAGTCTTAGTTTGGTTTTCATGAAAACTTCCTATCAAAAATTAATTCTAAGTAGATTGTCTTCCTCTGATGGCTAAGGTCCGTGCCAATTTTTTCTCAGTCTTTAAACAAATATTGTTCTATTATAAACACGCAATCACCAAGGATGCGAAGTCGGTTAGAAACAAGATCCATTACAATAATCATGAATTTTAGAGATGTAGTCCAATGTATGCAATATATACTAGTTTAAATGATGACACAATTGCAGATCTATAAGTGAAAGCTACAGAGCTAGGTGCGGAATTTGAACCTCATTAAGCTTTGAATATTTGACATTACAGGAGTATACTTCAAACTTATAATTTATTACCATATATTATTAAACTGTCTAGCTATTGTGTTTAATAGCAGAATACTGCGAGCTACCAGACTTCAAGGTATTGTGATTTAAGGGGATAGAAAGAAATAAGCTATCAGATGGGTTGACTAAGCTAAGCGAATTATTAAGTATATACAAAGAGGACACAATTTAGGTGTCAAACTAAAGGTGAACTCCAGGTTTAATGAGCTATAATTTAGTAAACTAATCACTATAATACCAAAAACGTCAGCAGTATATTCAGTCTTTTCCAAGGCATTCACATATTCCACACCATTGAAATTCTAAGCCACTCGAAAATTCGGAATAGTTCTGGTAAAACACACAAATCATAAAGCTTTGAACACAAGTTACAGCTGGGTAGGGAAATTCACACACACTATCTCACCCTAGCACATTTGATTACCGAGTATGTGAAATGTAAACAAAACAGTTCGAAAGCTTTACATCCCCAATACATTTCAACAACACGTGCATTTGGCTGCGAGCTTTTTCGAAGTTACAACAAAACAAATAGCAGATGTTTTAATGAAAATTATAATAACAACTACAAGCACATTGGCTAAAATGAAAGTGAAAGATGCAACGTAGAAATCGTAAATCATAGCCGGCATTTAGAGCGTATTGCCACTTGCAGCAAGCCAAACGGCAGCCGACAGTTGTGCGTGAAATTTCGAACCGAATTCAACGCTGGCGACTAGAGACGCGGCAAAATATAAATAAATATATAAATATATATTAAAGAAAACATAATAATTTTTGAAGAGCTTGAAGAGTTCGTATTGGAAGTCGGTATTATCGCTTGTGAAATGAAATTAAATTGAATGTTACTTTTAAAATTTTTTTAAACAGATTAGATTGTTAAAAAAACATGTGTGTGCCAATATCAATAATGCCGGGTACAAAATATTAAAAATAATAACAACAATAAACAGTGCCCAAGGAGAAATATAAATAAGCAACTAATGAAACTTTGTGTTGACAAATGTAAGCAAATAAACTCGTCATGACTACTCAACCGGGAAAATGAATTGAGTTTAAATTGAAAATCTATTTATCTTGTGCGTATTGCGATTAAACGAGTATATGCTAAAAGGTTCACTAAGGGGGTCATCCCATGTGACGATCTTTTTTAGCGATTTTAGAATTTTTTCCTACGCTTTAAGTTTACTACCATTTATTAATATAGAATAATTTGACAGTATAAATATTTATTTTAAGCTAAAAATATTGTGTATAACTTGAGTTACTGCGTTCAGAACACCCTCGCCTCGAAAAAATGGGCTCGCACTTCCTCTACGATTCCGGCTGATTAGCTTTTATGCAACAAAAAAATTAGCGGCTTTGCGATTTTCGAGATTTTTTTTTGTTTTGTTTTTTGTTATAAGTAAATCGAAATTTTCGTTTGATAATAGTTCATTCCATGCGTTTACATGGGCTGAGTGTATAATATAAATTTCAAGTCATTCGGTCAAGCCGTTTTTGAGCTACGTTGGAGGAAAGTTTGAAAAACACAGTTTTGATTGCTCAAGAGCACCTCCATCACCACCTTTATTATTTTGCTATAATTTAAAAAATAGGTCCGCTTGTATATAGCCCCCTCTACACAAGTAAGGCTATTATATTCCGGAAGGTGGCAGGTATCCATAAGCTCCATTCGAGACTGGGCTGGGCTTTTTGAGGACCCCTAGCCAGGCTGATCCTCGGCACGAATCGCAAGACACCTTGTTTCACCTTTTTTTCGTAACCCCAACCATAGTACGACACCCAATAAAAAAATCAGACCTTAGTTAGATAACGCGATACTGTGGTATCTATAAACAGTCGGCACCCTCGTGGAGGGTTCAGCAGTGCATTTCCGTCAGCCAGAGTTGCCATTTTTGAATTTTCTTTAAAGGCTTACATAATAATGAGCATAAATGTTATAATATATATAAATAAAATAAATTAACTTTTCAAGACTCATAAAATAATATTTTGATTTTGTAGGTTGTGGATTGATGGATTTAGTTACTCACATTTCACTTAAAACAGGCGACTGCAATTCGACTCGCTACCGGTTGCTGTGTTACAGAAAATAAATATGTATTACGATATTCCTTATCAGTTTCAGCTTTAATAAATTTATTATGTTTAGCATTTATACTTATATCGCCATTATATTTTTTTAATAGCGGTAATATTAAAAGGTGCTGTCAAGTCAATTAAAAATTGCATACAATAAAAAATTTAACGTTAAAATATAGAACGTTTGTAATTATACTATTCTGAGCCACGTTATCTTTCAGTCATTCAAATATAATCTTTTTTCTTTTACTTGCTGTGTTAGAGTGCGCTCGCCTGTCATTCAGACGAAATAAAGCGTGTTTTAAAGGAATTAACCTTTTATTTCAAAAAGTAAAAATAAAAAGCACCTATATTTTGCTTTATTGAAACAAAATATTGCAGACAGTAACTCTGCGAGAATGAAAGAGCCTGGAGAGTCTCTTCATAATTGAAATGTCAAACAGATGTGTTGACAGCTATCCATCTAGGATATTATTTGCTTAGGATGACACTCTTTATAAGGTATAACTGGCTGAATGTTCCTAAAAATTACGAAAGCATTCATTTGAGCTTTATTGGAACAAAATGTTTTCGATATGCAATATACAACAGACATTAACTTTGCCTGGACCCTTGAGAATGTATATATAATTGTAATGCCAACCACATGTATTAATAGCTAGTATGGCAGCTATCTCTCTAGGAAATTATATGCTTACAATAACACTCTTTATAAGGTATCACTGTCTGAATATTTTTTCTACAAAATTTCGATGTCAGGGTCTGGAGATAGAGATTTAAAAAAGCACGCTTCGTACCTGGAAATTGCTTTAAATAAAAATTATTTATACTTTTATTTAAACTACAGCGGTCTAAATTATGATACAAAACTGTAACTTAGTACAGAGGATCGCAGTAACGAGAGATACTAGTGAGCTAAAAAGTTTTTAAAAGTGGGGGTTGACCCCCCCCCTTAAAGGGTTAAAGTAAATATATTCCAAACCACCGTAGCTAAATTAACCAAACTTGCTGAGAAAAAGTCCTCTCAGAAGTCAGTCAGAACAAACTTTGCGCAAAAATGGTTGAATTCGGACTATAAATTTTCAAGGGCCTAGGCATCAATTATGTTGACCCCAGTGCAAATGACTAATTTTTTACCGAACATATCTGTCAATCTGTCAGATCTAATATTGAAATTCGGGTAGAAGATTCTTGTAATGACAGCATGTCTTTGTGCCAAAAATGGGTAAAATTGAGTCAATACTTGTCTTAGCCCTCACATACCTGATATAAATATTTTCGAACTTCTGGCTATCTTTATACCACATCTATCGGCCAATATGTGAGAAATCTTATTGAAATTCAGATAAAATACTAATTACAGTATATTCTATTGCCCTGAATGAAATCAGTGTCTCCTACGATATCTTAGCAAAATTGCGTGAAAGTATAATTTTGGATATACTAGAGTTCAATGCTGATCCACGAACTATCCCAGCTCCTATATACAATATATAATAATTTTTAATAGCTCAGAGTGGAATAGGGATTTCCCATATTTTGGTTGATGTTTTCCTCATAGACCCCATGTATATAATTTAGC